TTAAAAAAATAAAATAAATATACTTTTAATTCGTATTTTTAAAATACATGTTAAAAAAACCTTTAAAGAAATAATGTAATGTTAAAACAAAAGTGTAAAATAATTAACTCTCTTATAAAAGAAAAAAAGAAAAATCGAAAATACAAATTTAAGTATAGAAATTAAATTCTAAATTATGAGCATTTTTAAAAGAAAGAAAGAGAAACATAACTCTTTTATTTATGAACAGGGTCAAATCATACCTCGACCAGCTCTCTTGGACAATTTATAAGGGACAGCGCACAAACTAGGTTTTTGTTGTTACATCTTTGTCAATTAAGGCACATGAAGGTGAGTTAAATTTTGAGGCCAAGACAAACTTAGCTATGAAGGATAATTTATATGTAGCTAAACCTTTTGTTGTGAGAATATGTTGGGGTTTTTTTTTTTTTTTTGGTACTATCTTTTTGATATTCCGTAATTACATTAGGTCTCAACTAATTTGGAATCGATTCGGGTCAAACTTTATTATGAGAAAGTTCTCTCAGCACCTATTTCTTCATTTATAAGTTTCAAACTTGAGATTTTGGTTAAAGGAAATTGAATTCCTTCCACTCAAATCAATAAGTCGTTATAGAATATATTAGTTGTTGAATAGTTTAAAATGAAGGAAATTCCACGTCCGGGTAGAATAAGAAAATAAAAGGATTTATATATATTTATCTTTTACTTATAAATAATTATAGAAAGTTAAACTCATGGTTTGCAAGTTTTGGATTTAGTCATTGTTTATTTATATTATCATTTAAATGGGCATTTGGGCATCTTGAGCCCTTGTTTATTTATATTATCATTTAGAAGGGCACTTGGGCATTTTAGGCTTGGAATTATCAGAAAAAAATTTATTATTTAATTAATTTCAATTTTTTAAATTTAATTAAAATTTTAAAATTAGAAATATATGTTTAAAATTTCATGTATAATCTTTAGTAGCTAAAAAAATACCTTTTGTAATGATGTCTTTTTGAAAGAACATATTTCCTTGACAAGTGTTTTTTTATAAAAACATACCCTTCAATTAATGTTTATTCAACCTGTAAATTTTATTTTAATTTCACTTCTATAAGATTAAAGTCTACATTAACCAACCCACAACTTGTTAATAAAGTTGATTCAAACAAGTCATGAGTCAAAAATAGGTTAACTCATGAGTTGACAGTTGACTCATTTTCTTTTCTTTTTTTTTTTTTCCAAAAGTTTTATTTTCTTAATTTTTTTTAATTATTTTAATTTTGAACTCCAATAACCCTAACTTAATAAATTTTTTATCCACCCGTTTCCAATTTTTGGACTCTCCACCTCCCCCCTTCACCTAAATCTAAAATCACCAATCTCCAGCCACATCGCATGCTACCTCGTAGTTATCGCATAGAAGCAATCATCAGAACGGAGGAAATTCAAGTTCAAATTTTTTGTTTTGACCCTAATGGTTGATACATTCAATTGCCTTTTCTCACCATCCCCATTTGAATATTTTCATGCATATTAGCAGGTTGAAATTCTTTATGTTGGATTATATCTTCAATTACATTTAACTTACAAGGTTCTCTAATTAAAATGTGGATTAACCGTTCATACTAGTTTTGCATTTGAATTTTCTGAGACTTCTCTTTAATATCCATTCTTAAAATTGTATTAAATTTAGGTATAAAGTTAAACAAAGATTGAAACTTTTAAACTTCTAAACTTTTATTTGTCTGTTGTAATTTCATAAATATCTTTGGTTATATACAAACAGAAAGCAAATTTGATATCAATTATGTTATTTGTAAAAAAAGATGTGAATAAAGGAGCTAATCATACACATTTATTTTAAATTTCAATTTATTGCAGACTCAATAATATAATTTGCTTTCTTCCTTTTAATTGAGGAACTGAAATTATAAATTACATCGTTCGGAACTTTTAAGTTTTAATTAGATTTAGATATTATCATTTAATTTTAATAAATTAAAAAACAGCCTAAAGAATAGCAAAAGAGTCAATTCACATTTGATTTGTAACCTGTTAGGATCAATTTAAAATTAGCTTCTATCAACCTATAATCTCTATTTATGATCCAACTTATATAACTCATGACCCGAGTCAATCAAAGCTGAACCCGATCAAACTTATCGGTTTGCTAGGCCTACTAATTTTAATTTTTTTT